AGAGAGTTGTGATTAAAACTGAAGGTAATTCATCTCAGTAACATAGAGTGTTTTAAGAGAAAAACAGTTACTAATTAATTAAAAAAAATTAGCCAGTTATAGAAAATGTTTCTCTCTGTTTTTCTGACCCTGCCATCCAAAGAGAACAATCAATTTATCACCCACTGGCTGCATGAATTCAATGAAAAAGAACTTTGGGTTTTCTCCTTTCTAAACCCTTGCTGAGTTTTTCTGGCAGCACATAAAAGTGGGTCATTTGTACCTAAAATACTTTGCCAATGCTCCATTAATCTTAGTGATCATGTTCTCACTTTCCCTGTAATAAGCAGGAGAAGGGGTTATTATGGAGAAAGAAGAGGATGTCCCATTTTTAAAATGGATGTGTAAATGTAGAATCAGAGAAGGTTATTTAATATTTTGTAGCCTGGTTAATAATGAATACATGATTGAAATATCAGTGACTGCGTGGTATATTTTTGAAATGCAACAATGTATTGTTTATTTTTTATATTTATTAGTAGCATATCATACCTTCAGCATTAAGAGGAATGTTTCAACACTATAAAAAAAAAAGATAGTGTGTCTTTGGGCATATATCAAGAATGTCTTCATTCTAGAAACAGATGGTTTGTCAGACCAAAAATAATATGAAAAGAGAGATGAATCAAGGACAAAAGATATTTTTCTTTGGTGATTTTTTTTTTAAATGTGGAAGCTTTATCATTCCACTTCTACATAATGATTAAAATGGAAAATAAGCACCTAAGACCTAAGAGTTTCTCAGCTTCTGGATATTGAAACAAATTTTCTGAAGACCTTGATTATAGTCTCTATATAAAGTGTTTGCATTTCTTAAAAATAATCTTCTTAATAAACTGTTCTCTATCTGAACAGTGAGAGGATGCCAGAAGGACAAGGCTGCATTGACCTTCTCTCTTGGTCTCTGTTATTGGCTGATTTCAAAGGTTAAACTAGATGAAATGTAATCATTCGTGACTGAGTCCTTTCCAGATCCCTCTGGAAACTGCAGTAGCCAACTTTGTTCATTTGTTAAGAAATAGAAGTCATGCCCTGGACAGTTTGGAATGGGAAGCAGCCACTGTCTCTTTCCTTCTTACTTATATAAACGAACTAAATGGAAAAATAAACTACTTCCTCACCTCTGGTACAAAGCTTCGTCTTTTGTTGAAAGTTCACACACTCCCTTCATCGTGCTTGTTCATGTAAGGTGGGTGTCTCCCCTCCTTCTGTGAGGTGACTTGTGTAAGTACCTTAAGGAAAGTCCTGACTGCTTTATCAGTAATCCACTAGCATCCTTATAGAACAAACAAAATAAAATGAGGACAACGTCAGATGACATTCAACCTAGCCTTCCACATATCTGTTAGAATAAAGCAACAGGGTAATTATGAAGTGAGAAAACTTGAATAACCAAATAAATTCTACTGGGTCCCACTTACATCAAGTGAGATTATACTTATTCCTGTGTGTGCACTCTACTTAATGTTACTCACTTTGCAATTTATATAGTAATTCCTTTCCCTTAATGGCATATACATCTCACAACAGATGTCACAGGCAGCAGTGCTGTGATTTCTGAGGCACATGGGCATTTACTGAACACCAGGATGCTGCTAGTAATCAAAATTTATCTTTTTTTTTTTTCAAAATTTATCTTTGCAGACTCTCCATATGTCTGTTTATTATTTCACCCTTCTCTGCTCTAGACCACGTTCTCAGAACATCCCTGTTTTTAGGCATCCCTTCTCTAGTGAAATGCTTTAGCAATTGGTATTCAGTAATATAACTTTTCGGTGTATTTTTTTTTTTTCATAAATGGGGATGTCAGGTATCATTTGCAGGCTCCTGTAGTTCAGAATGCCGCAGACCAGATGCTTCTCATTACATAGTTGAATACAGTATTCTTTAGGAACATAGACCCTTCATGCAAACAAGATCCCATTATTCCTGAAAGCTTGGTAGAAGCCATTTGTGGGGGAAAAGTGGAATACAAAGACTAGAGGAATTTTTTCTTTCTTTGGATGCTAAGAATCATGTTTCATCCAATAATTTTGTGAGGATGATGTTTACCATAAAACCATTGGAAATTTTTTTGTTTATTCTTAGGGTTTCAAAATTTTAGATTTTATAGTTTAAAACTTAGTCAACTGATAATCATTTGTATTATTTTTTATATGAACTTGTTCCTTGCTGAGAGGAAAGTTAAAGGCCAAATGCTATAGTCATTCAGGGAAGGCTGGATACAACGATAATCCCAGGAACAGGTTGCTATCATCAGGGCACAGTGGTCTTTCTAACTCTTCCATGCTGTTAGGACCTCCTTTGAGGAATTCCTCTGTGCACTTTGTGAACAGATCCACAGGATGGCAAGGGGCTTATCAGGCACCATGACTGGCTTATTTGCATTTTCCAAAGGAGAAGATTGAAACAATCAACTATCCAATCTGAAAGTTGGACAGTAAGGGTTATTTTTCTTTTTTCTCTCTTTTTTTCCTCCTTTATTTTAGATGTGTCTGGCTAATCCTTACAAATAAGCATCCCATTTAATAATCTCACTGGGCATTGTAAGTGCATGCCTGTAGTCCCAGCAACTCAGGAGACTGAGGCAGAAGGATTACAAGTTTGAGGCCAGCCATGGCATCTTAGTGAGGCCCTAAGCAACTTAGTGAGACCCTGTCTCAAAATAAAAAATATAAAAAAGGCTGGGAATGTAGCTCAGTGTCAAAGTACCCTGGGTTCAATTCCCAGTAAAATACATAAATATTTTTTTTAATTTTATCTTTCTTTTAAAAATCCAAATAAATAGTTTTAAAACTCATAGGTCACAGCATCATCTTGGGTTAATGTACCTATTTGCTAAATCTTGCAACATTTCTGGGGTATCCAAAAATTCAGATTCCCAAGTTCTTCCCTAGACCCCTTGCCTAAGAAATTTCTGGAAGAGAGGATAAGGAATCTACGTAAAAATATTCTTTAGGAGGTTCTTTATGCAGTCCTTGAACCAGATTTTGTGAAAAACGCTGATCTAAATGATTCTGAATTTCAAAGCTGTCTCACCAGCCACATTGATCTCATCATGAAAAACCAGTAGTAATTCCAACCAGATTTTCTATTTTGTTACCTTCAGGTCAGATATATCTGTGGTGCACAGTTGCTGGGACAAATGAGAACATGCGTTCTATCCTTCCTCGCTACAACTTGTGATTTATCATTCAGCCCTTTTATCATCCTGCCATCACCACCACCGTCAGACCAGAGCCCATTCGGGGCACCCTGCTTACGGGGCTGACCCACTCCACCTCACTGGTCTGTTGGTTATCTTCAGCCATAACTATGATCACTATATCTCCATGGTGTTTCTTCCCAGGATTCTCCTGCATTTCTTCACTTTGTACTAAAAAAAAAAAGGAAAAAAGAAAAAGAAAGAACAATTTTCTTCCAACTTATGCCATCAGCCCACTTACCTTGATTACTTTTCACCAAAGATTTTCTCAAGGTAGGTGATAGAATGAGAGGTTATAAGGGAGAGTAAAGATCATATCTGTGGATTAAAAATTGTCCTTTTGGGTTAAGATTTCCCCCCACCCTCCAATGTGTGGGATTGAACCCAGAATCTTGTGTATGCTGAGCATGCACCTGGAATAAGTTTTAAATTTATCTTATTAGGAATTTGAGGGTGTAGCTCAGTGGTAGAGCATGGGTGAGGCCCTGGATTCAATCTCTAGCACAGGAATAAAGAAAGGAAGGGAGTGAGGGAGGGGGTCGTAGAGGAAGGGGAGAGAGAGAGGGAACTTGAAGTCTAGAAAAGACAAACAGTAGTCAGAATTATAGAATTATGTAAGAGGAGACTAGGAATCTTATGTTCTTTTAGTCTGACTTCTCTGGTAGACCAGGAATAACAATTTTTTTTTTTTCATATTTAAACCAATTATCTTTGGCAGACTGACCTCAGAAGTTTTTAAGTAGGTATTTTTTGCAGTATGTATAAGTAAACTCAAGTTTATCCAACCTTTCCTTAATTAGTTCTCCTTTGATTTTTAGCTAACAATTTTGATTGCAGTTTGGACCATTTCACAGAATCTTTTCTGTGACCATAGGGAATACGCTGTGTTTAGTTTGAAGAGCACAAGATACAGAGTTTAAGGGATGCAGGTAGAATCTCAGCACTAGTAACTTTCTTGAACAAGTCATTCAGCCTTTGGAGTCTGTTTTCTTGTGTCATCAGTGCTAGCGTGTTTATCTCCGAATGCTATTGTGAGGACCCGAATGAAGCAAAGTGTTATCCAAGCTCCCAGTGCAGATCGGAGATGTTATTTAGAAATTTTTGGTTAATTTAGAAGTTGGTTGCATCCAAAGGCAATTAGGAAAGCTCTCTCAACCTTAGACTAAGATAATATTTGGTACGTGTATTATTTTTATAAGCGTTTCTTTGACCCACCTAAAACAATGACATTCTTATGTAGACCTAGAACCTAGAATGGTGTAATCGTATTTACGCTTTCATTCTCATTGCCTTCTGAAGTGGACGCTTTGTTGACAAGCCTCAAATGCGACTTACCTCTCTAGCAGTTACCCTACTAAGCGGTATGGGTTTGTTTGTTTATCTATTTTTCCCCCTTTGTGTGTTTTTAGGATCTCTCTCAGTTTAAGTCATGCTCTCCACCCCAACCCCATAGGACATGATGATATAGGAGATCATTGTGGTCCCATTACCATAACCCTTCAAATAGCAGTAAAATAGAATAAACATTGGTTCTAGAGTAAGACATATGCATTTGAGTAGCAGTTTGGCTACTTATGAGCATGGTTGTCTGATAAAGATTAACTGAGATAATATAAACAATAAAACTCTAGAAGGTGTAAAAGAATTGTTCTTTCTATGGATAGGGATCTCTATAGGGAAGGGTATCAACATTTATTGCATGCTTCATGTACATTACCTTCTCTCTGAGGTAGGAGAGAGTCTCATTTCACAGATCATGAGCCTCAAGTCACATGATTATAAAGGAGTGGAGCTCGATTTGCCACACTACCTGTCTTCCTGCTTTCAGAGCAGCACAGGTTGCGTGATTCTTGGCCCTGCCTCCTCTTGCCTGCGGAGAGAAAGAGTAGTTGAGAAAATGGAAGGAGACACTCCATGTTGCAGTCAGCAAATAAAGAACCATCAGATTTCATAGGATAGGTTTCTGCAACTTGTCTGTGTGACAAAACTGAAGACCAGAGAGGCCATAGAACTGGTCAGGGTTTCTTTCATGGTGAGTTTGCAATGGGCAAGGGGGTGGCTGTACCCCTCATTTGCAATCCACTTGAAATGTGGCTCAGCCACAAGTCCCTTTATCTCCGTGCTTCCCTTTCCCTCTCCACCAATGTGATTGACTTACCATTTTTAAACCTATAGGGGCGATGAATCCAAAAGAGCTTTTTGGAGTTTAGACTCACAGAACTTTCTCGGTGTTTTTCCACTTGAACACAAATGAAGTCAAATTTTCACCTGCCCTGAAAGCCCCAGGTGACACCAGCTGGTTAGGCAAGCCGTGAACTGTTGTGGCAGTGTAAGCCCTGTTGTCACCCTGTTAGTTTGAAGAAGCAATGGGCTTGCCTTTCAAAGGAAAGTGGGAAAATGGAGCTACTTTTGTTCTTTGTAAGGGATGATTATTACAGTCAAATGAAAGTGAGGAAGTATGATGAGAAATTAATTCTTGGAAAAGAAAAATTGCAAGGAAAGGTTCTCATTATTACACCTAAATTTTGACTTTTAAGCTTTGGGGACTATTTAAATTATCTAAACCATTTTTTTTTTTTTGCCTGTGTGCAATACATTGGTAAAACTTCAGACTGATGGTTCCCACATCTGATAATGGGTGGGATGCTGATCCACCTACTATTACACATCTTAGAATTACATTTGGAGAAGTTTGAGTTTTTTTCTAGTTTGTACTTAAGCTAGCCCTCTTGAGTAGAGTTGGTAAAGCTAAAACGATGTGGGCAATACATTTTAAAGTCATTACAGACTTTAAAATGTTAGGAAGTTTAAAAATAAAAAATGAAAAAAGGCCAGTATGTCTGGCTCATGAATTTTGGTCATGAACATGATACATCAGGAACTATGCTTAGATTTTTGTTATTCTAGGCCTCATTGCCTCAAACACAATTTAGATGAAATTATTTTTGTAAATAATTACTCTTAAGCACCTGATGATCTAATGAGGACAATTTCTTAATGTGTCAATACGAATTCTTTGTATCTTATTTGAATCTTTTGTTGTTTTAAGCTAATCTGCTTTAGGGTTCTCAAATCCAGGCAGTTTACAAAGCAGATTCTAGCAATGGCATTCATTTGGAATGCTGCCTTTTGTTTACTAGCTTTACCGGGCCCTCACTGCTTCCTTTGGTCATCTGGTGTCTTCACTAATGTGATTTGTACTCCTTGGCTCTGCAGGTAGCCATGAGCCTTTATAAGTGGGTTTACAATGAGACTCACCACCCTGGCTGCTAATGAAGGGAGCCCCAGGGATTTTTTTTTTTCCCCATATGTCTTCCAAAAGAGTGGAGGAAAATTGAGCTCTAGATTTGTTAGTTCTCCTTGTTTTCAATTAATTGCATTTAAACAATTGGTGTACTAACTGTGATGCAAAAATATAAATATTTTTTGTTTAGGAATCAGAATGTCACCTGCCAGCCCTGTATGCTAATCACTGGGATTGTTTATTTTTGAACCTGGAAAGAATAAAGTAGAGTCTCTGTTTAAACTCAACCAGTTGGCATTTTACCTTCATCTGATTTTGTCCTTCAGGAAACTTTCAATCAATTTGGTTGTTTAAAAAGGGGGTGGGGCTTGCATTCTGGTACTATCCTTGATATTTAGCATTCCTTAATTTTGACTAAGTCACTGACACTCCTGGTTTCTCATGTGAAAAAAAAAGAGTTTTTTTTTTTAACAAGATGCATATGAGAGCCACATTTCATATTCTTCCTGCTTTCTTTTCTTTTTACTCCTAAAGTAATCTAAGGTGTTCCTTCACTGGATGGGTAAACCTACCACTGAAAAGCAAACTTACATCTGACAAAATGTTTTAACCAGCAGTCAAACCAGTAGCTAAATATTAAATGTGGTCTTCATTAGAGAAGTGATATACTTTGTAGATTAGAATCCAGTTTTACAGAGAAACGAATTCTCCATTTCCAGTAGGGAAGCCAGGTTTTCAATGTTTGTCATAAGGCCTTGGTTTCAGATATAGTTTATAGGTAACCATTATTTGGATTTTAGAACAAGAAAGGACATCAGCAATCATTGGGTTCAATCCTTTAAATTTTACCAGTGAGGATTCAAGAGGCCCAGAGATACTTAGTAGCTTATTTATGGTCACAGAATTTATAGAGCTGCCGGTAGAGCCCCAGCTCCAAAGAAAAGTGGGCATATACTATGGTAGAGTTAATCTAACTACCTCTTAATGTAAAACAGAGAGTGAACGGTTGAAAGAGAGACTGCTAATTCCATGTCTGAAAACTTAAAATCACTGCTTGAGAGTTGGTTTCTTTTTCTGTTGAGGATACCAGATTAAAGTCAATCCCACCCCACAAGTGTTTCGTGAGGATACCCTGTGTGTGGAACCCTGCACTGGGGTGATCTTGCAAAGATGTTGAAGCCACAGTTCCTCCTTTCAAAGAGTTCACAGTCTAACCTGGAGAGGAGACAAATGTGAATTGCTGGGAATGAAAATGACAAACAAACGGAGGATTCCAAAGTTCAAAGGGAAGATGGACTTAGATAGGATGATATAGGATGAATGTTTAATAACAGGTCAAATTCATGGTGCTCTGAGAGCTCACAGGCAATGTTTTAAATCAGGCTGGGGGAAAAAAGAAAAGGAACTGGTAAATTAAAATTTGGGCTAGCATTCCTATTCTTGGTGATTGCTATTGGATAAAATCCCTCATCCTTGCAAATTGATGTCACTATAAATTCATTGTCCTTAATCCTAAGTACCACTTAATTATATCTTTGTGCTTGCAAAGATCTGCTTTTTCTCTAATCACTTACTTCAGATCTCTTCTCCTCTCTTCAAGCCTGTACCCCATTGTCCCAATCTCAGCAGGCTGCTCCTCTCCCTCTTAGGAGCCCCTGAAGAATCCTAGTAATTGCCTTGATTTTAGCCGGCCCCCAGGTACTAATGAGTACCTGGAGATAAAGCCAGAAGTGCTTTATCTCCAACCAGGGCTCTCCCTTGAACTTCAGATTCATCTATCAAATTACTGCTGGGTGTCCCATTTGGATGTTTCACAGCCATTTCAAAATCAGTATGTCTCCTCTTTCTGCCACCTTGGAGCCCGTGGAGGCCTGCTGGGAGACTGTGGTGCAAAGCCATTTTTTTGCTGGCTATAAAGCAGGGTCTTTGGAACCAAAGGGAGCACACTACTCTTCTAAAAATTGAAGGTGTTTATGCCAGAGATGAAACCGAGTTCTCCTTGGGCAAGAGATGTGCTTATGTGTGCAAAGCAGAAAACCACACAGTGACTCCTGGTGGCAAACCAAACAAAACCAGAGTCATCTGGGGGAAGGTAACGCATGCCCGTGGAAACAGTGGCATGGTTCAGGCCAAATTCCAAAGCAACCTTCCTGCTAAGGCCATTGGACACAGAATCCGTGTGATGCTGTCTTCCTCAAGGATTTAAACTAATGGAAAATAAATGAAGATGGATTTGTGCTCTTGGGGAAAAGAAAAAAAAACAGTACGTCTAAAAACCAAATGACTCACCTTTCATCTAAAACCTCACCTTCTTCCTCAAAGCACCTCAATCAGAGAAGGTACCATCCTACACCCCAATTTGCATTTTTTAAAAACTACCCTGGCTGGTATATGCTGAATGCAGAAATTATATACAATTAGGAGACTGCAATAATCCAAGTCAGTGCACTGTCTGTCATAGTTTTTTTTTTTAAATTTGTTCTATTTAGTTATATATAACAGTAGAATCTGTTTTGATATAACAATAAAAGCATGGAATATATCATGGTTTAGTTTAGACCCCAGATCTCTCCTTCCCCTTCCCTTTCCTCACCTCCTGCTCCCTTCCCTCTATTGATCTTTCTGCCATTTACCCACAGTTTTTTTTTTTTTTAATTAATTTCTTGTGGATGTACTCGAGGGTGAGATTCACTGTGGTATATTCATGTATGTACTTAGGAAAGTTTATGTTAGATTCATTCTACTGTCTTTCCTTTTCCCATTCCCTCTCCCTTCCCTTCAATCCCCATTGTCTACTCCACTGAACTTTTATTCTTCCTCCCCCTTTATTGTGGGTTAGTTTCCACATATCAGTGAAAACATTTGACTTCTGGTTTGGGGGGATTGGCTTATTTCACTGAGCATGATGGTAGCCAGTTCCATCCATTTGCTGGCAAATGTCATAAAGTCATTCTTTATGGCCGAGTAACATTCCATTGTGTATATACCACATTTTCTTTATCTGTTTCTCTGTTGAAGGGTACTTAGGTTGGCTCCGTAGCTTAGCTATTGTAAATTATGCTGCTATAAACACTGATGTGGCTGCATTACTATGGTATGCTTATTTATATAAATTCTTTGGATACATACCAAGTAGTGGGATAACTGGGTCAAATGGTGATTCCATCCCTAATTTTTTGAGGAATCTCCATACTGCTTTCCAGAGAGGTTGCACCAATTTACAGTCCTACCAACAATGTATGAATGTACCCTTTTCCCCACATCCTCACCAACATTCATTGTTTCTTGTTTTCTTGATAATTGCCATTCTGACTACAGTAAGATGAAATCTCAATGTGGTTTTAGTTTGAATTTCTCTAATTGCTATCGATGTTGAACATTTTTTCATATATTTGTTTACTGTTCATATTTCTTCTTTTGAGAAGTGTCTGTTTAGTTTCTTTGCCCATTTATTTATTGGGTTATTTTTTGAAGGGGGTGTTGTTTTTTGAGTTCTTTGTATATTCTGGATATTAATGTCCAATCTGAGGTACAGGTGGCAAAGATTTTCTCCCACTCTGTAGGCTTTCTCTTTATGCTTTCGATTGTTTTCTTTGCTGTAAAGAAGCTTTTTAATTTGATGCCATCACATTTATTGATTTTTGATTTTACTTCTTATGCTTTAGAATTCTTGTTAAGGAAGTCAGTTCCTGTGATGATATGTTGGAGTGTTGGACCTATATTTTTTTTAGCAGGTGTAGGGTTTCTGGTCTAATTCTCAGGTTCACTTAGATTGTTTGTGAGAGATAGGGTTTAAATTTCATTCTACTATATATGAATTTCCAGTTTTCCCAGCACTGTTTGTTGAAGAGGCTATCTTTTCTCCAATTTATGTTTTTGGCACCTTTGTCTAATACGAGATGACTGTATTCATGTGGGTCTGTCTCTGTGTCTTCTATTCTGTTTCATTTGTCTTCATGTCTGTTTTGGTGCCAACACCATGCTGTTTTTGTTACTATAGCTCTGTAGTATAATTTAAGGTCTGGTATTGTGATGCCTCCTGCTTCACTTTATTAACATGTTGGATATAATTGCATGAGAGTTATCATGGTCAAGTGATTTAAAGCATGTGTTTGCAGTAAGGTGGGTCTGTTTTTAGTTCCTGGCACCACCACTTATCAGGTAGTTATGTAATCTTCAGCAAATCTTGTCTGAGTTATTTTGTCTGAAAAATAGAGACAATAACAGTATTTATACGACATTCCTGGGGATTAAATAAGATGTAGGAGGTGAAGCATTGGTAACTTGAGTCCTTAACTAAGATCTGTAAGTGCAGAGACCATTTCCAGTTTGTTCACTTTTGTGTCTTTAGGACCTGATGCAAAGAAGGCACTTAGTGAATATTTACTATTTGTTGGATCAGTAATTGAGATAGTGAGTGCCTGGATTAAGCCACTAATGATGGAGATGGACAAAACAAAATTCAAGGTAGAGACTCGGGTTTTTCCTTCACTTCTCCATGTCATCAGTCACTCCTACTGATTCAGTCCCTAAATATGACTCGGGTTCATCCCGTCCTCTGTATTCCTGCTGTAACTGCACCCATGATCTCTCACCAGGACTACTATGTAAAGTACATGAACATTGTCCCTGCATCCCATCTGCTCTTTATGAGTGTCTTCCAGACTAGTATTGAAGGAATCTCTTCAAAGCTGAAATGGGAACATGTCATTCTTTTGCTTAATGCCTTTGTATGGCTACTTTGGATTTATAGGATCGAGTCTCTCAACTCCTAATACCTGTGCATACATTTCCATCTTCCCTTCCTACCCTTCCCTTTGTCACACCCAGGAGCTTAGTAATGCCAGGTTGGTTAGAGTCTCATCTTCAGAACATACTGTGCTCTTTCTTTCTTTTTTTGAACATTATAAATTAATGCATTTTATTATATTGACATTAAATTATTTAAGATTACATAGCATTATTACATAATACATAAATTTTTAAAAAAATGATAGTTATTTTAAGTGATACAGAGTAAGCATTTGAAAAAAAATTTAATATCTCTTTATGAAAAAGCACTTTATCACACTAGGAATCGAGCAGGACATCCTTCATCTAATAAAGAGTATCTATAAAAGAACTCTGGTCAATATATTTAGTGATAAAAAGAGGAAAATGTGGGGCTGGGGTTGTGGCTCAGTGGTAGAGTGCTCTCCTAGCATGCACAAGGCACTGGGTTTGAGCCTCAGCACCACATAAATATAAAATAAAGATATTGTTTCCACCTGAAACTTCAGAATAAATATTTTTTAAAAAAAGAGGAAAATGCTACTTTGGGGACTAAAATGAGACAATAATGACATAGATCATGTGCTTGCATACATAAAAAAAACTACGGGTAAATTATAAAAATCAGTACAAATGTTCAATAAGTTTGATTTTAAATAGTCAATAGGCAAAAATCAACTTAAATGTATAAGAATAAAATTTTATAATTTTATATATATATATATATATATATATATATATATATATAGAGAGAGAGAGAGAGAGAGAGAGAGAGAGAGAGAGAGATTTTTTTAAAAAAAAAGATACAAATTTTTAAGGCATAAAAAGTGAAGGTAGAACCCAGGTATCATCAGAAAGGTTACAAATAGAAAGCCCCTATCCAATTCCCTTAGAGAGATACCAACTGAACAGTATTCAGTCCACTCTGCCTGTAGGAGAACTCCCAAATCCGTCACAGCAGCCCAGGCAAGCTCAAAACTAAACACAGCAGGTGAGTAAAACTTTTTCATGGGTGATGGTTGTTCCTTCAAGCCAACAATCCAATTTTCTTCTGGGGCAGCATTTACAAAATGAACAACCAACCCATGGCTTCTCCCTTCAGAGAAAAACAGAAGAGTGGAACACACTGATAATTTTCCAGCTTGGGAGGAAACTTCCAGAGAAATTATTTTTTTCTGTTTTCACCTGACTTCTGTCATCTGAAGGAACGGGCACATCCGGGGGCACCTGAAGACAAGCTCAGTGCTAACTGGCAATGCAAGAGAGCCTGCAGTCATACTGTGCTATTTCATATCTTCATGATTTTAAGAGTTTTTGCTTATTCTTACTCTTCTAACATCCTTCTTTCTGTACCAATTACCTTTGTCTGCAAATGGCAGGAAACACTAGACTAGAAGTTAGACGTTTCTGTCTTTCCCTCATAAAGTTAGGAGGTGATGTCAAAGGCCACTGAAGTATCTTGGCTACCATCAGGGCTTGAGTCTTGTGGTTCTGTTATCAATGTGTGACGTCCATCTTTGTTCCTCTCTCAATTTTCTACCCTCTCTAGGATCTGATTCCTTTAATCATCTCCTCTTTTCTGTTTCTCTGATGTTGTCTGATTCTCAGATGTTGTCTCCGTTTCTCCAGAGTTGCTACATTCTCTGAGCTTTGATAGTACTTTGTTCTTACTTCTGTTGGACACTTACTCATTTAGGGATCTGCCCTAACTTCTAGACTGGGATCCCTTTGAGAGTAGGGATGGTCTTTATCATCATTCCTAGTATAGTCATAGTTTCTGTGTAAATCAATGAATAAAGTTATGAAATCAGGGAATCTGGGTAACTTTTGCTCTAATCATAATGAGTTTTGTTTTGAACATATAAATTTTGGACATGTTGTGTTGACATATTGAAATTGAGGAGCTAGCAGAACACAAAAGTGATGTTCTGTAGACATTTCTAATTTGGGAGCAGAAACTCAGAAAATATTTTATAGTTAATGATGGAGATGTAGGGGTCACCAGGAAAGACAAGAAGAAACAGCTGTTTGAATCACGTTTTTCAGGAGTGGACTAAACACAAGTGATAGAACCTTTATAGGAGGTAGAGAAAGGGCTGATAGTGGAAGTTGAGGCTCCTGCCTTCTACTTCAAACCCATCTTTTTGGTTCTTCTCTTCCACTGTATGGAGATAGGAGGAGTAGAGTCTGGGTTTCTTCCGCTTTTAATAGCAAGAGAGAATGGGCAGGGTGGAAAATGTGTTTTGTTCTTCTTACAAGATAATCAATAAACTGACAAAGCTTAAGAATTTCTTTTTTAAATTAAAAAAAAATCTTTGGTGATTCTATTTATTAGATAGTTTTTTTAAAAAAAAATTCACATATCTTTCCCTCTATTCTACTTCATTGCTTTCTTAGGGCCCCTAGGAAATATAATACTAGTTCATATAGATTTTTTATGTAAGATAACTTAGCTAAAGTGAGTTCTGTGTTTCTATACAACTGTTTAACATGTTATAAATTGTAAGTCTAGTTGCATAAAAATAAAAGCTGGGGGTTGGGTTGCTCAATGGTAGAGTACTTGTCTGGCATGTGCAAGACCCTAGTCCCACTGTATAAATAAATATTAAAACTGCATAGAAAAATGACAATGAACAGCATAAGCACATTTAAAAGTCAAAGCTTCTGGCAAAATTAAGGAAAATGTTGCAACTTGAAGCCAGAAAATAAAATTCCTTAATATATAAAGAGCTCCTATAAATCAATAATGACACCAACAATCAGAAAAATGAAGAATGACCATTTCAGGAAAAAAAATATAGGGGCTTTTAAATATCTGAAAAAATATTTTATTTCATTCATGAGAGAAATTAATATTAGAACTACATTGAGGTATCATTTTTCATTTGTCAGATTGGCAAAGATCCAAAGATAAATAATATTCTACATTGATAAAGGTTGGGGCATATATAAATTGCTAATGGGAGTAAAAATCATTTCAATCCTTATGGAGGGCAGTTTGGCGATATTTAACAAAATTAAAACTGAATATTTTCTTTGACTCAGCAATTTCATTTCTAAGAAATTTAACCAACAAGTGCAGAATTGTTGTGTATTAATGCAGGATTGATTATTATATTACCTTTAGAAATAACAAAAATTGGAAACCAAGTGTTCATCATTAAGGGATGACTTTAAAATAATTGTGGTATATACATGTCAGTGGATTCTTTGAAGCCATGAAACAGAATAAGAAATATCTTCATGCACTTGTATAGAAAGATCTCCCTTTTTTTCCCTTCTTCTTTTTTATGGTGCTGGGGATTGAACCCAGGGCCTTGTGCATGTTAGGCAAATGCTCTACCACTGAGTTATACCCCCAGCCCTCCAAAATAATTTAATTTAAAGTAAGGTGCAAAACAGTGTATCTGTTTTGTCCTTGCTTATACATACATATTATAAAAATATAATGGATATATTTTAAACAAAATAATAAAAGTGGTTTCCTGTGAGGGGAGATTGTAGGACAAAGGTTTAAAGGAACACTTTTTAGTATCTTTCCTACTTCTAGATTTTTTGAATAATTATGTTTTTCTCACTTCATTCATTATATTTTTGAAATATATCTATACTTTTAATTGACACATAATAATTATACCTATTTATGGGGTTCCATGTGACATTATCCATGTGACATTTCCATATAAGTATGCAACATGTAATAATCAGAGCAGAGTAATTGGCATATCTGTCACCTAAGACATTTGTCATTTCTTTGTTTGGATTTGGAAATGTCCAGAATCCTCTCAACTTCTAGAGTTTTTAATCAGGTAAATATATCATCTATCTGAAAACATTAAAAGGAAGAAAATTTTTAAATATTTAAAATAGAAATATTTAGTTTTAACAGCTACAGAGACACGATTTCCCTAGTGATTCAATATAGGTAGGTTTTACATTGCAAATAGTTTAATGATATTTTTGTTTCTGAAGTGCCAACCGTATGTCCCCAGAACAATGCTACATGATGTGGAGTTATAAGGAGAAAGCTAAAATGAGCAAAGTAAGAAAAGGGTTAAGACTGGCTGAAAGTCAAGCAAGGGAGTGAGATAGACCACTTGAACAAGGGCACAGAAATGGATGTGGGCTAATTTTTGGAGGAGATCAATAAAATCAAGTTGATAGCAAAAGATCTGTGTGATGAAGATCAGCTTAAATAGGTACAGAAAGATAATGAATAAAAGTTTTCAAACACTACAGTGTATAATTTGTGTTTTATTGTAGGGACTATGAGTTCTGGACTACTTCCTGTATCATCATGGAAAGTTCTTCTGAAGCTACATAAACAGGCTGTTATGCATAAATTTAAAAGATTCACTAGCTTATGATAGTAAAAATGATATATGAAGGCATAGTGAAATCAAGTTGTAATATTTATTTACAGTCTTTACTATGTGAACATTCATAAACTGTATTTGTCACTGTACACTTACCTAATAAACTTACTGACGTGAAAGGTATTGTCAAAGGAGAAAGTCGGGTTTTACAACATCAGATGTGCAAAGTCAGTAAGATTAGTAATAATAAAGATATAGGTTTTCACTAAGTTTTCAGTGTGCTTAGATTTTTAAAGAAACAACTTCATTGTAGAAATTTGGGAAACAAAGATAAAACCTAAAGGAAACAAATATCCCATAATCATTTTACCCGTTATAATGTGATTTATATCTTTATTCCTTTATCTTATTCGGTTATTTTTATGTTTTTTCCTTCAAATGGGACAACATTGCTTTTATAACATTTTCCATTTCATACATTATGAATATGTTTATATGTCAAAAATATACTTCTTGTGGGGTGTGGTGGTACATGCCTGTAATCCCAGTGGCTCTGAAGGCTGAGGCAGGGTGATCAGGAGTTCAAAGCCAGCCTCAGCAATCCTGAGTGCTATACAAAAAAACCCCGTCTCTAAATAAAATACAAAAAAGGGCTGGGATATGGCTCAGTGGTCGAGTGCCCCTGAGTTCAACCCCTAGTACCCCTGCCCCCGACAAAAAATACACTTCATATAGTATTGTACTTGTGTACACTTC